CTTGGCAGCCAGCAGGAAGACAGATGGGTTCACTCTCCACCCCCTCCTTGTCCTTAGAGGTGCAACTGAAGCCACATGTCACAGCTTTGCTCTTGATAAAATCCCACAAGGGGCAGATGGACCAGTTACTTTTACTCCTATTTCCCCAGCTAGCAACAGAGCCCTCCTTGGCTGATCCCTACAGGATTCGCTCCCTGGCTCACCTCTTTTCCACTATCCACAGCCAGGTGTGTCCACACCAGGCAGTAAAATCTCCCACCTTTCCCACAGTCACAGCTCTACCAAGCCAGTCCTAAGGATAAGCTGGAGCTGAGGTCCTCAAAGCCCTGCGAGGCAGCAGGCTGGTGACATACTTCTCCAGACACCCTTCTCCACTTGAAGCCTCTGCACAGCTAAACCTGCCCAGGAGCAAACTGCAGCCATGATGCCGGCAGCTGGGTAGGGAGGAGGAAAAGGTGGGGGTGACTCACTGGCCCCTGGGACACAGCCAGAACCTGACTAATCCCGTTTCATCAATCCTCCTGAGCTGCTAATTGGATGCATTTCATTCAACAGACTCGCTGGCGAGAGAAGAGCCATGCTGCAGGTACAGATACATTCCCAGCCTATTCGCTTAGCATTAGTCCCCCTGCCAGCTGCAGGGACCACACAATGTCCTTTCCTGCTCACCTCCCGTTAGCAAAGCAACACAGCTAAAGCCTGACACCCCACCGCAGCCTTTCCACTTGCTCCCTCCCTGGACGGGGGCTGGGAAGGGGGAAATACACAGTGCAAAGTCTCACCAACTGTAGAGAAGTAAAACAGGAAGGATGTCTCATCTACAACCCTCATTTCCCACTGGAGCACTTCTCCAGCAGACAGGGACCCTTCGATGCCTCCAGGTACCACAAGATGTATTTTTAAGTTGTGTTTATAGGGCAGCATGTGAACAGAGATCTCTTCGCACCACTGGAGGGAAAACCTTTGTTAAGAGATGTTGATCCCAATTGCAGGAGGGCACAAGGATGATACCTGCTCTTACAGCCTTTGCACCCTGCCCACATGCCATTTGGGAAATAGCTCTTGTGATCGTACAGCACCCAACAGTTGTTCCTCTCACAGCTTCTTTCTGCCAGTGCCGTTGTGTTGGCTCTGGAAATCATCACTCCTGATCTCCCAGTTTGGCTCATGGCAGAGCAGCAGCACTGGCTTCTCCTGAAGAGCAGACCTGAATTTAACAACTGCAAAGTTATGCTTGAGAAGTGTACTACTTCAGTACGAGACAGGATGGTGTACTAAGAACAGTGCTTTCATAAGCACTTCTGGAAGCACTGAGGACAAACATGTTAGAAAAGCCTCCAGGGCTGTCAGCTTAGTATCTTTCATCCTCTCTAAACACTGCAGCCTGATGCTGGAGTAGTGTCAACACTCCCTTCTGCAGTCAAGCCTTTTTATGAAGGATTCCTCCTCCAAAGCAAAGGCAAGCTACACCAGCATCACTCTCCCCGAGCACAGCAGCTGAACACCCCAAGAACTACTGAAGGCACAAGGCCCCGTCTTGCAGGTCCATACAGGGTTAGTCCCCCTGGTAACAACAGCCAAGTTCTGCTGCCCATCACACCAGCGTGAGTTTGAGTTGACACCACAGCAGTGGGTGGGTTTTTAGCACACCGGGGAGAAGAC